TACATTCTTTGTAAGTGGGCAAACCTGCAAAATCAGCAAGGGGTCAAATACTTATTTCCACCACTGTAAAATTAAAATTGAATTTAAGTGAATTGTGTCCGGGTTTGGGTTTGGTTGGTTTGTTGGAGGAAATAAGTATTTGACCCCTTGCTGATTTTGCCGGTTTGCCCACTTACAAAGAATGCAACGATCTATAACTTTAATCATATGTACATTCTAACAGTGAAAGACAGAATCCCAAAGATGGGTCAAAAATGTGTCATATTTGATACTGTTTCTGAAGTCTTTTGGATCTGAGACAGGAGAGGAGCTGATAGGTTTAAGAACTAGACTTTTTCCTGGTTCAGGTAGTTTTTCTTCATAGAGGCTCAGTGGGTTTATCTTTAGGTTTAAAATGTCTGTTTACAGATTTAACCCTATAATGCCAAATGTATCATATCTGATACTGTTTCTGAAGTCTTTTGGATCTGAGACTTTTTGCATCATTCAGTGGTAAAAGCTTTGCTCAAACCCCTGTTGAACACATTCAGATATACCTGATAACAGCCAGTAGAAGACTACACAAAAAATAATCTGGATTTATCACATAGTAATAAATTATGAATATCAAAAATGTATTTCTGTTTTTTCTTTTTACATATTTTGTTGAAAGGCCAAATAAGGAATTCAAACAAAAAAAATGTAATTTTCTGTTTGGTTTTATTCTTGGATCAGGCTTTAAAGGATTAAAATATTCGTATGTTGGGTCAAATATTCCATCAGAATACACTGTAATTACTACAATTGGTTCCAAAAACCTACCATAACTTCTTAATAAATACAGCAGATAAAACAAATGCATTACATATGAGAGAGATGTAAAAAAAAAAAATGATAAAGAAATCATCTATAAAAACTTACTCTGACTTTCACTACCTGAACTTTAAACTAACTTAGCTATTTTTTTCTATTTTATTTTTCTATTTCATATATATTTTTCTATTACTTTGACGTCATATGTTTGTTGGAAATACACTATAGGTGTTGAGTTGAATATTTGATCATATTTCACTTCGTCTGTTTGAAAATTCGTATGTTTAGACATCAGAAGTCGCGGTTCTGCTCTATTTTAATGTATTTTAATGTATTTAACATGGATAATTAATCAGCTAATTTCTCTCAGGGGGATTTTCCACAAGTGAATTTCTTCTGAAGGTTATTTTCTTTCTCATGTGAATCATCCCTCCTTCAGTCAGAGAAAGTGCTCTCACTCTCTCCTCTTGATGTTTTTTATCTTGAGGCCTTTAGGTTCAGAGCAGTTCGTCTGACCCTTCTGGCCGCTCTCACCTCATCGAGTTTCCCTTTTGATGCATTTCTATTTCTAAACTCCTCAGACGGACTCTTGCTTAAAAACAGAATTTCTGTATTTTATCAGAACGAATCAACGCTTTATTTCCTTTGTTCTGGCTTGAAACGGTCAGACATTTTTACCTAGTTGAAGCAGATATTGATCGTCTCGGTTTCTGAATACTTTTCTTTTTCCCTTTCTTTTTTATAATTTTTTTTTATGACTTGAACTTTATTTAGGTTTTAACAAAATAAAACATACAAAGTATACCACGTTGCACATTATACCAATTGGGTATGTAAGCACTGAAAACAGACCATATAAAGCAAAACAAACCATAGCATAACATACTTTTTTTTTTATTTAAAAAAAAAAAGAAGTGTTTTTATTCTTCTTCCCCTTCTAGAACTTACGCCAAGAGCCTGCAGGTTGTGGACCTGATGGGCTTTAGGGAATTTACGTATTTCTGTATTTTATCAGAGCAAGTCAAAGCTTTATTTCCTTTGTTCTGGCTTGAAACGGTCAGATACAGTGGGGGAAATAAGTATTTGACCCCTTGCTGATTTTGCAGGTTTGCCCACTTACAAAGAATGCTTATTTTTCCTCATCAGATGGTTATCAATTTTTATAAATTCATATGATGGGATTTTCTGGAATTTTCTTTGGGATTCTGTCTTTCACTGTTAGAATGTACATATGATTAAAGTTATAGATCGTTGCATTCTTTGTAAGTGGGCAAACCTGCAAAATCAACAAAGGGTCAAATACTTATTTCCCCCACTATATTTGTACCTAGTTGAAGCAGATATTGATCGCCTCAGTTTCTGAATAGATTTCTTT